TCGCAGGTACCACACTTACCCGGGGGCTGGGTTTGAGCCCACTAATACCCGCTTGGGCGGGGAACATCACTCTAAGATTTTAGCACTCTTGCTTCTCAGGTCCTCGAGTTGTGAACTGACCCCAAAAAACTTGGCGGGCCCGTACGCGGATACCACGCGGGTTTTGGCGCCCATTTTGGGGATTGGGGCCGGCACGTGCATGTAGATTAAGTTCCCGAAATCGGGTACCATGCGGGTTTTGGCGCCCATTTTGGGGATTGGGAGCGGTACGTGCATGCAGATTAAGTTCCCGAAATTCCGAGCCCCGCAGGTTTTATAGGTCCTGAGACGAAAGTGAGTGACAGACGCACACACAGACACACAGACACACGGACACACAGACAACCTCTCGTCAATATGCGTTTTTCGCATTGCGTGCTGCAAAAAACGCATAATTAATGGCATACTGATTCTCGGAATTCAAGAAGTTAATTGTGCAACTAAATGTTACTTGTTTAGGGAGCATTCCCTCAAAATTTCAGATTTCTGTCCTTTCTGGTCCCAGAGTTGGCAATTTTCTCATCAAAAAATTTCATGGGGCCGTACATGAGGATTACGAACACTTGGGGGTTGGATTTGAAGTCCTTGAGTTCTATGAGGGCGGATACATAACGTCAAAATTTCAACTGTCTAGCTTTTCTGGTTCCTGAGTTAGCGATCTTCCGGCCAAGACTTTCACGTACTACTATGCGGGGCCCTGACATGCATGAAGGTTGGCACTGCGTTCCTGGGATGGCATATGGCCGGGAACCAACTGGAAAAGTTTTAGCTCTGGAGCTTGCTTGGTTGTCGAGCTGAAATGCCCGAACAGACGCACGTACACACACATGCACACACACAAACACACACACACAAACATACACATACTCACCGAGGCCGTCACAATATGCGTTTTTGCATTGTCATATGTGCAAAAGGCACAATGAATGCACCAGGAAATGGAATAGAGCTCCGTCACTTGTATCAAACCTGAACAGCACGGTCTTGCTCAGCAAGCAGTACCACAGCCAAACTGTCTTCGCCCTTTGTTTCGGCCGGTAGTGAAGGTGCGGTCGCTGCAGTTTTTCGTGATTTTTTTACAACACCAAAGCCCATCATCCGGTCACTGGTTACGCTTGCTGATGTTTTTTGACGCTTGCGTATTTGAAGTCGGCGGACCTTTAAAAAAAGTCACCTTACATAAATATAGTATAAACCAAATTTCGTACGACCTGGGCAGAGAGTTATCTGCGATGGGAAGAAAACTTGTGTGGAAAATTTCACAATAATATCCTCTCTGCGTGAAGAGATCTTCAAAGCCTGTGAGGCTTTCCTTAAATTCGGCCCTGCAAACCCATTTTCCTTCTTTTCAACAATTTTGCTACTTACGCAGTTAAAAATATCAAACTAACTTCAGTAATTCCGTTTTTAAAGTTTTCAAGAACTCATCGACTCGTCTTACACTTCTTTTCCCCCTTTCTTTCTCCTTCCCTCAATCAGTTCCACCTACAGCCCAGTTTAACAATCTGCAGTGCTGAGAGTTTCCTGGCGGCAGAATTCTGCAAGCCGTTGAACCTGTTTTTACTTTCTGCTCAGGTCTGTAACATTACTCGTGCTGGCGCCATCCTAACTCACCTAAAAGGGAATAAAGTTGCGGTGGTGTTTCTGAAACCTACAGTGCGCTGCAAAATCCGAATCTACCTGTTACAAAACTTTGCGCATCGTTGTCATTTTAAAACTGTTACGTGTAAAAATTTCACGATCCGCCTTACTTGTGCGATAAAGCTAAACAAGAAAAAACAAAGATAATGCTGAAGATAATGCTGAACAGTGCATCTGCAAGAATGAAGGCGCGACAATGTAGTTATGACCTACTGAATAAAAATAGGCGACGCCTAGCAAAATTGTGCTTGAAATTTGACTATTCTGTAACTCAAGGGGTTTTTGGTGGCGGTTTCTAACGGAGTTATTGCAGAAAGCTAATGAAAATGTGTACTTGTTTTCGTTCACGAAGTAATCGCGGCCCTAAATCATGGAACTTTTTAACACTGGCGAATTCCGGCATATGCTCCACAGGGTTATCGTCATTTGCGCTCCCGTGTTGCTGTTCTCTTGCTGAATATGCGTAATACTCAGACATTCGTTTTGAGCGGTTTCTGCCTGCTGCAAGCATTAGGTTTTTTCTTTTACTTCGAATAAAAATTTTTGACTTTTGTGTGATTAGTTTAAGTTAGTTTTTTACAAAACTTGCTGGTGGCAACAGTGCAAAAGTCTACTCCGAAAGAGATCATTTCCCAGCCAAAACTTTTCAATTTTTGTGCGTTTTTGCACATACGTAAATGTGAAAACGCAAACTGCGACGGCCCCGGTGTGTGAGTGTGTGTGTGTGTGTGTGTGTGTGAGTGTGTGTGCGTGTGAGTGTGTGTGTGAGTGTGTGTGTGTGTGCGTGTGTGTGTGTGTGTGTGCTTTCGCCTGTCCGGGTATTTCAACTCCAGCTAAGTGTCACCCCAGAACCCACGGTGCCAACCTTCATGCACGTCGGAGCTCGGTAGGAGCACGCGAAGGTTTTGGCGAGAAAATTGTAGCTCGGGAACCAGAAGAGCTAGAAGGCTGAAACTTAAAGAGGATGTTACCCGTCCACGCAAAATCTAAAAATTTCAAATTCAGCCCCCAGGTGTGCGTAGTTCTCAAGTACAGGCCCTTCAAAATTTTTGGCTGAAAAATTGCTAACTTTGGAACCAAAGCTAGAAAGCTGGAATTTTAATGGAGTGTACCCTAGTATGTATTTTGCACAATTGATTTCCCTCACGTAGTTGCACAATTAATCTCCTGAACTTTAAGGACCAGTATGTCACAAATTCTAACTACTGGTTTCCAAGTGGTCGTACTATAGCATGAAATACTGCAAAAGCGCATAATCGCACGGCCCAGCTGACACGCGTCTCCATGATTGCATATTTATGCAAATGCAACCCAGGCTGGAACGCACCACGCGAGCCGGTGCGATCATGCGTTTTTGCACCAAACTTGAACTAATTAGGTCAACTGTATGAATGATTGTTTCTCCACACCTACCTTGTGCGTTCAATACCGTAAATCATCGTAAATTTTGCATAAACAAAAACAAACAATTTCTGTTTAGCAGTCGTTTTTTGAAAAGACCCAGCTGTACATTGAGAAATTTTTCTGCTAAAAATTTAAGTATCCGTACATGAGAACTACACGTACCTGGAGGTTGAATTTGAAATTTTTAGGTTTTATTTGGACGGGGAATATCCTCCTAAAATCTCAGCCTTCCAGCTCTTCTGGTTCCCGAGTTCGCAATCTTCCTGCCAATACTTTCACAGAGCTGCACGTGACCTGGGGGTATACGTGGAAGCTGGGTTTGAAATCCTTAAGTTATACATGGGTTGTGAATATCCTATTAAAATTTCAGCCTTCCAACTTTCCTGTTTCCTAAGTTAGCCGTTTTCTCCCTAAAAAATTTCACTGGGCCGCACATGAGAATCACGCATGCCTGAGAGCTGAATTTGATAACTCTAATTTGAATATGGGCTAGAAACATTCCCTGAAAACTATAGCTTTTCAGCTGTCCTCTGTCCCAAGTTAGCAGTTCTTCGCACCAAAAATTTTCACAGAGCCGTGCGTGAGAACTACACATGCCTGGTAGCTGAATTTGATAACTTTGAAATGTGCATGGGCGGGGAACATACCCTTGAAATTCCAGATTTTGTCTTTTCTGGTTCCCAAGTTAGCGATTTTCGCGCCCGGAACCTTCACGGGGCCGTACGCGGGAACCACGCACACCTGAGGGCCGAATTTGAAATCCTTGAGTTATGTGTGGAGGGGGGACATAACTGCTCATTTTCAGCTTTCTATCTGGTCTCCTTTCCGAGTTAACAATTTTCCTGCCAAAACTTTCGCGCTCTCGTACGCGGGACCCAGACTTGGATGAGGGTTGGTACCGCGGTCCTGGGGAGGCACTTGGCCG